TTATTTATTTATTTATTTATTTATTTATTTATTTATTTATTTATTTATTTAAAATAAGAGCCTAAAGTAGCCCAGGCTGGCCTTGCCCCTCCATGCCCTGAGAATACAAAGCAAGTATATGATATCTGATACCATGTCTGGCTCTCCACAACATGACATTCTAGTTTCTTTTGCAACAAGTCCTACAATAAATTATTAATGTCTGTTAATGGGTCACTTCATGGCAAGTAACATGTAGTCTTTGTCAAGTAATATTTATCCAATATATGTGTATTTTCCGGTCTTTCTGAATTTTTGTTATTCTTTGCAAAGATATTAAGCCAGCTGGGCACCTGAAGTAATCCTAGTGCGTGAGAGGTTGAGGCAGGAGGACCCAGGCCAGCTTAGATGCAAAGGGATACCTGTCTTGAAAAAAAAAAAAAAGAAAAAGAAAAAGAAAGAAAAGATTAAGTTAGGCGGGCAAGATAGCTCAATGGGGCAAAGAAAAGAAAGCTTGCCACACAAAGCCAATTTAATCCAGACCCCACAGTGAACGGAGAGAACTATTCTCTGGCCTGTGTGCTACTCACACATCACACACATAAGCATGCTCTACGTAATCCTACGGAACTGCCAGATACGCCTTTCCAAATGCACTACTGTCATCTCATTGATTTACATTTACATGAATTCTGACAAGTTCTCAGTAATATGGCCTCTTTTCCTACCGCCACACACTCCACTGCAATCTCAACGCACTATGCTAATCCGGAACTGACCAGATGTGTAAGTTGGGTCTTTTCTGTTTGACATGATCTGAAGTCATTAGTGAATTAAATTCGATGCTAAACACACTTCCCATATCCCAGGGGGATACAGGTTGACCATGTGAACAGTAAGAGAGCATGGAAATCAAGAGTAGATAGAGTACGTATTAACACCAGGATGAACGTTGACGTTAAGAAAGTCTGTAGATACCTGAAGGCCAAAGTAAATTAAATCTGTAGATTTGGGGAGGAACAAAGATGCTACACATACTATTATATGAGACAACGTCTTTAAAAGAAAAAGAGGTCAGGACTGGGAAGATTGCTCGGTGGATACTTCCTTGCTATATAAGCATGAGGACGTGAGTTCAAATACCCGGCACTCAAATAAGCCAGGTGTGGCCACATCTGTGTTATAACCCTAACACTGTGGAGAGGGGACACAGGAGATGAACAGGCCAATTGACATCTTCATCTGGCTTCTGAGCACACATAGGAAAAAGGTACTTTAAAATCATCTGAAAGTGGGGAGCAGAAAGAAGGCTGGAGTTCCAGTGTAAGAGAGCTAGTGAGACCATCTCAATTAAGCAACTAGTGAATGAATGAAGGACACTGGGTTATGCCTGTACTCCCAGCTTCTGGCTTCCAGAAGTGATTGCAGGGATTACATGTGCACATGCACACACACAGAGAACATGTGTGTACTCACTCCTGGGCTCATGTTCACACACACACAAACAAGTAACTATCAGGCCTGGAGAGATGGCTCAGTGGTTAAGAGCACCGGCTGCTCTTCCAGAGGTTCTGAGTTCAATTCCCAGCAACCACACAGTGGCTCCCAACCATTTATACTGATGCTTTCTTCTGTCATGTAAGTATACATGCAGACAGAGCACTCATACAGCATAAAATTAATGAGGTAGCAGTAAAAAAGCTCAAGTTGCAGTCAGCTCACTGGTTAGAATGTGTTGCTCTTGCAGAGAATCTTTCAGTTCTAGCACCCACATGGTGGCTCACAACTCTAGTTCTTGGGCATCTGATGCCCTCTTCTGACCTTGGCAAGCACCAGGCACACGTGGTTCATACATACAAACTCAGGCAAAAAAACAAGTCTATAAGAAGCTTTTAAAACTTGTTATAGGAGAGATCGAGGAATTTTTGAGATGTGTAAAGATTTGGGACTGCAACTATGAAATGCAAAATGTGTAGAATTCTTTTTTATTCCCTCAATCTTTTTTATTCCCTCAATCTTTTTTATCCAGCCCAGGCTGGCTTTGTTTTTTTGTTTGTTCTTGAGAATTCATAACTTTGGAGAAGAATTAAGAATTGTAAAAAGGTTGTAAACAAAAGGGGTATAGAAACCAACTACCTTATTCAACTACCATCCTGCTGCAAGGAAAAATCCAGCACAAAGGGGTTGTTCAGCCTGCGGATTTGACTGGCTCCCTTCTTCCTGTTTATTTTATAGGCTAAAACTTAACTCATTCAATACCAGAGGCAAGTTTCACTACAGTTTCCATGGGCACCAGCATACAGTGTATATACATACATGCAAGCACACACACAAACACATAAACCACTCTTTGAAAAGTAATAAAACTGGGTATTGTGGCACATTCCTGTAAACGCAGCTGAAGCCTAACAATGCGCTTCATAGCCTAAAGAGGAAGGGAGAAATGGAGGGAGAGAAGAAAGTGGAGAGAGACTGATTGTCATACCACCAGTCCCACCCTGCCCCATCTCCAAAGGGAAGCTTACATCACATATGCAAAGCAGCAAAATAACAGAATTCCTCATAAATGTGAAAGGTCTACTGATCAGAATGAGTAAGTTCTTTTTTGCTTTAATATGGCCTGCATTTGGAATATACGGAATTCTTTGTAGTGACAAGTGAATTATTTTTTTCTAATCTCTTCATAGCAAAATACCCCCAAATTGCATACACTATGTGAATTACATTACAGGCAAAAATTAATATGAATCTCTAACAAAAGCAAAACATTGACAATACCTATACGTTTCTTAAACATAAGTATTTTATAATCTGATTATAATTAATAGAGTGAAAACTTTGTGTCCATTTTAAAAAACACATGTCAGATTAGAACACCAGTCTTTTTCCTCCACGTGTGTCTGAGATGGGGTTTGAAATTAGCAGTCATCTTCCTGGTGTACACTAAAAACATTGGCCTTTTCCTAGTGAGTTTCAGTAACTTCAACATCAAAATAATAAAGCAGAAATTATCAATGAAAAAGTAGATTTAGTGAACATGCCACAAATGCTGGTACAGGGCTGTTACTCTTAGATATCTGATGTTAAATACCACAAAACTTCTGTCTGTGTGTGAAGTAGTTTACTGTCCACTGAGAATTATAAGATGTGAGGCTCAAAACATGACTGTTCCATTTAAGGTTTAGAAAATGTTGGGTCTCACTTTACTAAGATGTAAAATGAGGGGCTAGAGCAGATATTTCTGATGGCTCGTCCTGTTTCATGCTCTGCATTATAAACAATTTGATTGTCTTTAATTTCTCTTGGTTACCTCAGGTTTGAAACTCAGTTACCCATACATGAAATGGCCAAAAAGCAGTTAGAGGAATACCAAGAGTGTTGATTTACCTGATCAGTATCTTCCTAGAAATCATAATCACTACAAAATGCTTTGTAACACAGAACAATCTAAAAAAAAACCACAATTCAATCTTTATAGCTCAGAATAACTCATGTGAAACCTGTTACATTTTATTTGTCAAAAATGAACAGCTTCAGAATAAATCTAATGTAACTTTTCCAAAAAACACCAAAAAGTACAGTGTAAAGCACCTCCTCATTAAATACAAACTTTCATTTTGTGATGCACTGCATCAATGTTTTGCATACACCTTGATGCAAAAAGGAAATTTTAAGTTGCACCCCGTTTAAATTAAAAAAAAAAAAAAAAAAAAAGGCTTCAAGAACTGAACAAGGATGACTATGACTACAACCATATTCCAAGGAAGGAAATTTTCCTCCAACAAAGCATATTGTTTTGTTTATATACAACATGTTAGTTTTAACTGAGTTGTATCAAAGGCAAAACTTACTTTGAGAGAAAATTAAATTACAGACGCATGAAGAGCAAACATTTATTATACCAAAGACACTGTTTTTCAATGTACTTAGAATCAACATTTGGGCAATTTTTAGGATTTTCCGAAAATGGAATTACTAATACCTCTGTATAATAATATTTAAAACAACAAGAAACAAAGACTTTTATACCATATTTTTAAAAATTGTTCCAAAGATAGTGTTCATGCTCAGTTGTTTTTCCTTTCCCAGCAAACCACTCTAAAATGTTTTGTTCCTGAACCAAATATAAGTATTCATATTGGCAACAATGTTTTATAATGAGTCCTTGGCCTCATGAAAAGCATCACAGCTAATGAGAAACTAGAGTTATTTTCAAATTCTGTGATTGGCTTCCAAAAGTCCCTTATTAAGTAGAAGTACTGGCAAATAACAGATATTGAGGGTAGATTTAGATCTTTGGTATAAGCATGAATTGTTGCTGATTTTCCCACGACTAGCATAAGCCAGTAAGAAACTCAAAAGCACATCAGACAGTGAAGTCTCAGATACAATGAAGGCGGGCAGGAAGCATGGTGCTTTGCTTCCTTTTACAGGAGAAATCAACAGCAGAAATATTTAAACACCCACTCAAGAGATCTGAAATCATAGCAAAACAAAAGTTGAAGCTTCAAAATGACCACATGATAACCCGTAGCTGGAATATGTCACCGTATTTCGGCATTTTACTGTAATTTATGGTATAGAATTAGGTGGGGGCTCTCAGCACTATCTTGGCACAGCAGACCTCCAGAGTAAAAGAAAAACCCTTTCTCCCTATGCCTGAACTTGGAGAGATACAAACAGTGAATATATACAATTAAGTACAAATTTATTATAATTTCCCTTTTTTTTTCTTTGTGACATAGACAAGTAATTTTTTTTGTTTGGGGAGTTGTAAATTATTGAAACTTATCAAGCTGAAAAGCTTAAAAAAAAACCTTTTATATACAAAGCATACGACTTCATGTCTAGTAAGTGTATTCTTGTAAGCATCATTTGGAGAAGACTCTATGGACATTAGACTCAAGACAGGACTAATCCAGAAAGTATAACTGTGACCCAGGTTTGTTGTTTTGGTTTTACTTTTCCATTTCCAATCCTACAATTTGCTACTGTTCTCTGTTATATAAAACACAAACTATCAGGGTTTTACATTGGGCATCTCCTCCAAGACCCTGTGTGACACTTTGTAAAAAAGCATTTATAGCCCTGGCACACTTGCTCCGAGACTAATGCTGAGAGCCACACTTCTTAGTTCAATACTAAATGCTTAGAACTCAGGGGGTTTATTCTACAGTAACTGAAAAATGAACCAAGTTCTAAATATTTCCATAAATCTTAAGAGCCAGAACTGAAATTCTCCTAGAGTTAAAAAAATATCACTAATGACAAAAAGGCAACTGTACTTATTATACCAGCACATTAATGGATAAGTGACAGCAACACAGAGGTGTACTCTTATTTCTGCAGTTTAATATTTACCATGGCAAAGTCTAAAAACTGGACAAAAGAGTGATGGGATCTAAATATCACGCTCATAAAAATAATCAATTTCTATTTTTCTGTCTTCCTTCTGCTTCACGAGGAATCAAAGAAGTCAACAATGAATTGCTTTGTTTGGGCCAACCATGAAATCTTTAAGAACAGATAGGTATATTCCCTGCTATTTTTTCAGGGCATTATTTATACATTAAAAAAAAAAAAAAAAAAAAAAAAAACCTTCAAAAATAAAGTTATTTAGGTTCGTGAATATTCTGAAGTAAAGTTTCTTGAACTCCTCTGATGAACTCTTCAAGCAATTCAACTTTTCAAACAGTCAACACTGAAAAGTTCTTTTTATGTGGATCTATCCCACAGTCACAAAGCGGCTTCCTCCTTTGTTGAATGTGAGAGTGGCTCTCTGCTCTTTCAGTATCCCAAATCGTTCATTCAAAGTCATCCCTGTCTATAGAAAAGGAGGAAAAAATTAACTTCACTGAAAAAAAAATTTCCCTTTATATGTGATCTTAAGAATAATAATTAATAACACATTATGACATCTTAAATTGTGTGTATAATTTCATTTGACTCTAACAAAAAACTAAGGCATACATCATTCCAGAACTCAAAACTAGATAGCTCAAGAATCTTTATCTTCCAATTATAATGCCTACATTACATTATATAAACATATATACTACTATTATTACTGCTGTCTATATAAAATACATCCAAGATACCTTTACCTGAATTAATTTGGGCCTCTGCAAAGACTGTCACAGATTTTAGTGACAGCTTTGGTAAAAACAGCTAATTTAACTAGTATTAGCACACACCTTTGATTCCAGCACTCAGGAAGCAAGGGCAGATGGAACTACAAATCTGAAGTCAGCCTGACCTACAGAGTTCCAGGCTAGCCAAGACTATAAGTGGGACTCTAGCTCAAAAACAAACAAAACACATATACACAAAAACCCCCAAACAAAAAACAAACAACAAAAAAAAAACCAAAACAAGTTATTCTAGGCAGAAATGGATCCTAAGAGGCTGAGGCAGGAAGATTATCATGTATAAAGCCAGCCTGGGCAACAGTATGAGACTGTGACTTAAAAAAAAAAAAAAAAAAAAAAAAAAATAGACCCAGAGTTGTTTCAACTAAAGAGTCTTTCAACAAAGTTTTTAACTGAGTGCCCTACAAAGACTTAAATAAAACTCTGGCTTTTCATTAACAACTAACAAAGTGCTTTCAAACAGAAAAGAAATTAAGAATAGGATCAAAATAAAATAGAACAGTGGAAGTGGTGGCATACACCTTTAATCCAGCACTCAGGGAGGGAGGGGCAGGCAGATCACTGCGTGTTCAAGGCCAGCTTGGTCTACAAATTGAGTCCAGGACAGCCAAGGCTAGACAGAGAAACTCTGTCTCAAAAAATCAAAACAGAACAAAAAGAATAAGTTTGTCTCTTTTCTTCCACATTTGGTATTAGGGATTATACCAAGGGCTTTGTGTTAAACATGTACTCTCTCATTAAACAGAACCCCTCCCCCATACTTTTAACCTTAAATTCTAGGACCTTATTTCTGACAAGCTGCTTTCCAAAACAAGTGTATAATGAAATTCAACATAAAGTCACGGTAAAAATTCTCAGCAGATTAGAAAGATGGGTGCTACCTCAATCTGACTGAGAGTCTCTAATAAACTTATACCTAGCCATATACTTTTTTTTTTTTTCACTTAAGAACTATTTCTTTGAGTTTAAAAGGAAAAACTGCAGGGCAGGCAAGCTGTAACTCTCAGCATCTGATGAAAAAGGGAAATGTAGAGTCAGAAATGGAGTCCTGAAAGGAGCTGTAGAAAAGGAGTGGGTGTTTTTAGAGCAGAGAGTGAAAAGGTCCAGAGTGTCAGGGTAAGCATGCTTGAGACTGTCAGTATCTGAAGGAATAGAAAGGGGAAAAGGCAAATTATACTTCTGAGTTTAAACTCAGAAAAGTGGGCAAATTTAGCCATGAAACATGGTCAAATTTTTAGTGCTTTTCCTCAGGCTTCAGAAAAGGGCAAACACACTAGTCTTACTATGTCTATCCAACACTGCAGCGGATGTGCTAGCCATTACAGTACAAACAAACAGAAAGGTTTAAACCCTGGAAAAGAATTTACAGAATAAGTATTTATATAGAAAAGACTAAAGAATACACAGATACAGTACAAACAAACAGAAAGGTTTAAACCCTGGAAAATAATTTACAGAATAAGTATTTATACAGAAAAGACTAAAGAATACACAGATTGACTATAAAATTAAGTAATTTTTAAAAGAGTAGTTGACCAAGGTGGTTTATTTTTATCTTTTTAAAGATGTGTTTATATATTCTATGTGGGCACTTTGTTTGCATGTACACCTGAACACCAAAAGAGGGCATCGGATCCCCCTACAGATAGTTGTGAGTTGCCATGTGGATGCTGGGGAATTGAACTCAGGCCTTCTGGGAGAGCAGCCAGTGCTCTTAACCACTGAGTCATCTCTCCAGTCCCCTGAATTAAGCAAATTTAACAAGATCAAAGAACACAAAATACAAACTGTCCATACCACTTCACACTAACTTGTCACTATACTCAAAGTGACAGATAATAACAAATGTTGACAAAAATGTGGGGAAGTTTAGAAATCCATATATTACTGTAAGAATATAAATGAGCATCTTTGGGGAACAGCTTGGTAGTTCCTAAAAAGTTTAAATGTGGAGTTAGCCATACAGTCTACCAAAATCAATCAAATATATCCATTAGCATTTACCTTCCCCTCCCAAAAGCTAACGTAAAAACAAAAAACAGAATTATATACAGCAGCCAAAGGACACAAAAACTTCCAACTAATTAGAGAATATATAATATGTGACATATACATGCGATGAACACTATTCAAATAATTTAAAATGCTAATGAGATAGCTCAAACTTTCTATTATGGTAAGTATAAAAGGCTAGTAACAAATCATATATTACAAGAGCAGAAATGTCAAAACAGGCAATCTCTGAGAAAGAAAACAGATTAGCAGTTACCTAGGGACTGGGGAAGGGGCTAGACTACGCTATTTAATTTGCTATACGATGTTTTTTGGTTATCAGAAGGCTCTCAGTGAGTCGTAATACAGGAATTCGAAATACAGGAATTTTAATTTTAATTTTTTTTTTTTACCTGTTTTCCCACACTATTTATGTCAAACTGCAGAGGGACGCCTTTAGGAACTTTCTTAACATCAGACTGCTCTCTTTTTGTCAAGAATGAGGGTACAGCAGTACGAGTTAATCGTGGTTTCTGAGTTCTAACAAAGAAAAAAAGTTTAATTAGTTTACTAGATAAAAATACTCAAAATTTCTTTATGCATGTTGAAGTGAATTAGGGCTATTACATTGTACTCTCAAAAATAAAAATAAAGTGCTGGCTCTTAATGAACTACTCTAGTTACCAAAATTACAACTGCTCATAAAATAACCTTTTCAAGCATAACTACACATTAAAAACAAAATTTCACTTTACATATCTGAGTGTTTGCCTCCTTATACACATAGGCACCACATGTGTGCAGTGGGATTGCAGCCCCTGGGGTTCAAGCTGAAGAAGGCTGTGCTCTGCCTTGTGGGTGCTGAACTGAACTCAGATCCTATGCAGGACTATTAAGTCATCTCTCCATCCTATCCACACAACACTTTAACAAGTCAAATGACTGGTGATTTCTAAGTGATGATCTTTAAATTAAAGCATCCTATGTTTTTTAGTGCAATACATGTGGTGAAATGGTTAACTATTTTAAGTTCACCTTGATAAGATACACTATAAAACTTTAAAGAGAAAGCAGGTCTGTATGGTCTCAAAGTAAAGACATCCAAAATATACCAGGGGTAGAGGCAGAACAGTAAGCACAAGTGTCATCTAACTTACTGTCATATATACATTACACATATACACATAAAATGTATATACATACACATGTAAATTTATATGTACATACGTATATATATACACACACATGTATAACTGTATATATGTACATACATATGCACATTCGAGAACTCTGCGAGTGGCGTGTGCACATGCGGCAGCCAGAGCAAATATCTGGCTAGACTGGTTGGCCAGGGATCCACCTGTCTTTGCTCCCCACCCTTCCACCTCCATACTGGGATTGCAGGTTCATGCTGTCACAATTGGTGAGGGCTGGGGATACAAACCCAGTTTAACGTGTTTGGAGCAAGCACTTTACCACTGAGCCATCTCCCCACTGAGTTCATCTCCATGAACAGAAGTTTTGAAAACTAAAATATACAATAAGCAGGGATGGTGGCATATATTTGTTTCTTCAGCATGCAAGAGCCCAAGACAAGAAGTTCAAAGACAGCCTGGGCTGCATATGAAGACTGTCTAAAATAAAATTGGTAATGTCTGTATTACATATACAGAAACAGATGAATGGGTGTTATCTGGGGAATGTAGAGCCAAGAATCAAGGGAGCTTTTTCTTTGACTTCACCCTTATGATTTCCATTTTTTTGTTTGAGACACGGAACCATTCTTAACCTTGAACTCACTATGTGTCTAACTAAACCTGGTCTTAAAACTCATGGCAATCCTCCTGGGAATATATGTTTACTAAGTGTGTCCTTGTGTATCATTTTACCCTCACTTAGACAGCATACTCTAAGCACCGTGCAATACTCTTCACTTCCCTAATTACATACCAAGAGGTTGTAACGTTGGAAGAAAGGAAAACTAAAAGGAAGGAAGAGGAAGACTTACACCGGACACTGGACAGCTCCAGGATTGTCAATGGATACAGTCAAAATTCCTCCATTCGTGGTGGAAGTACGCCATCTAGGTTTGAAATTTTTTCCTTAAAATGGAAGCTTACAAATTTTACAGTATATTCACTCAAAGATACTCATTATGACTCTCTGCCCATCTATCTGTCTTAGTGAACCAACCAAGTGTTCCACTACCAAAAATTATAGATTTAAAAGTAGCTATTTATTTTAGATTAAAACACACTCGCACGCACACACGCATGTACACATGCATGCACACACGCTTGCACGCACAGATGCTGGATCCCACCAGGATCTAGTGCATCTGCCTCTCCAGGTTTAAGAACTGAAAACATGGATTTGTTAGATAGTTTTTAAAGTAATTAACATATTACATTTGAAAAATTAAATGCAGAAGAGCATCTAATGAAACTAGACAGTCTCTCATCCCAGGCTCCTGCTCACCCTTTCTAATCTAGAGGTAGCATTTCTGACCTTTCCTGTTTTCAGTGACTATTTGTTACTTTTAGTTTACGAAATAGGACATCTGCAGAGAAAGTTTTTCCTAAAATGGAACACCACCTTCAGCTTTCCTACCTACTTCTATTTTCATGGTTGTATTATTACTTTCCTTTTCATTGTAACATAAAACCCCAGTCCTTCTAATGGTGTCTAAATTCTGCCTGCTTTGTATGGAAGTTTAAGAGCCTCTCTAATCCTTTCCACCTTTTATCCTGCTTTCTCCGTCTCCCTCCCCTCCTCATCCTCCACAGTGGTCTTACCATGTGGTCTAGCATTTCTCTTAAACTTGGAATGTTCCGGTGTGAGCCCTCCAAAACTGGATCACAGGTGAATGACACCATTATTGTCAACTCTGCCTTTACATTTACTTACACTAGCCCAAATCTGGTAATTCCATTATATTTTCCCCAAACTAGCTACCTTTTGCTGTATCTACTTTTCACCCTCAAAGCCCAAAACAAATAAATAATGCCAGGCATGTTGCCACACACTTGTGATCCCAGCCTTTGAAAGGTGGAGGCGGGAAGGTTAAGAGTTGAATGCTAAGCTCAGATGACTACTGAATCTGAGGAACAAGACTCTCTCCCAGCATAAAATACCATCACTGTTATGTAAATGTTCATTGATGAGGCAAAGAGACTATTATTTTCTTCCTGTAGTTTTTGTCTCCTGTGCTACAGGACACTGCCAGCATCAGGTTTAAATAATTTCCTACTGACTGCTCAAAGTTGTACTTCACTGTACTTATCATTACATCTGGACCATGACCTTATTTACATTTTATTTTATAAAAAGTAGTTGTTGTTGTTTTTTTTTTTTTTAAGTTAAAAATTCTGATCTTCTCGGTAGAACCAGAGCACTGCACAATTTACACTTGAGAAGAATAATGGTCAGAAGCTTACCTCTAAAAAAATCTATGGGATTTTAATCTAGTCATTCCCTGAACGGGTTCATTTGTTTAAAAGAAGGTGCAGAGAAAGAAAAAAAAAAAAAAAGAAAGAAAGAAAGAAAAAAGGAATGGAGGAAAGAAGAAAGGCAAAAGAAGGAAAACACTTATACCATTCAAGTTGGATAAAGACATCTAAAACCCAAATCATTTGGGAACTAAAAATGTGGCTCAGTAATTATCTATCTAGCACATCTGAAGTGCTGGGTTCCATTTACCTACTGCAGGAAAAATTTCATTTTGGATTTCATTAATTTCTTGCACTGGGACAAATGGCAATTTGAGTAACTAGTACCTTGTGAATTTAAAAACATCTCAAAAAAACAAAGTGAAACTTACTGACGAGTTCTCTTTGCTACCACATCTTCCAGCAGCTGTTCTGTGTTTAACTGGGCCTGAACCTAAAAAGAAAATAAAAACAACAAAAAACCCCAGCAGATCTCACAGAAAACAGGAAATTTATGTCTAATCAGTTATCATGCCCAGTAACTTTACAGCTCAGGGTAAACATGAGCATAAGCTCAGGAAGGGCCTGTGCTATGCTGGCAACATCCTCTGCTGGAGTCAATGGATTAGAACAAGTGCAAACACAAGTTTATCAGTAAATAACCAAGATAAACTATTATAAGATACTACTATACAAGCAAGAAGAGACAGGAAGTAAGAAGAGCATGTATTAACAGAAAGAATGAACCTAGTGTCTTTTTTTTTCACTAAAACTTAATCTTACTCTCACAAGTCTATGATTACTAAGGGATCCATGTGAGTAGAGAAAGCACAATCAGGGCTTTTCAATACCTTCAGGCCTCTTCTGTAAAGAAAAGTTGCCTGACGAGTGTCTTTCTGATGACTTAATTTATTTCCACTCCTGGTAAAATTAGCTGGAATGTTATTTCTGCAACAACAAAAAAATGAGTGATCTCAGCCACTTTGCTTTCAAATACTCTGAGAAAAAATAAGCAAAAACAGTTAAATTCATAAGCTTAAAATTTGATGAGCATGATTCCAATTTGCCATCTTATTTACACAAAGCTGCTAAATTTGATTTACAAATATCTCCCTCTGAAGTAAACCACATCACAACTTGACTTTGAACTAATCTATTACCCAAATAGTCTATTCTCTAATATTTCACATCTTATGAAGACATTTACAAAATTACATTTTAGCTCTATTATTTCCTATCCCTAAATGTTTTTAAAATTACAATTCAGATTAAGAACACTGGCTGCTCTTTCCAGGGGACTAGGGCTCACTTTCTATTACCCACACGGTAGCTTACAACCATTTGTAACCCCAGTTCCAGGGGATCTGGCATCCTCTCTGACCTCTGTGGGCATTGCAAGCATGTGATGCAGATATACATTAAGTTAAAACATTTAAACACATAAAACAATATTCAATAAATCTTAAAAAAAAAAAAAAAGGAGAAACTACCTCTATTGTTTTTGCTTTCTTTTCTGTCTTGATTCAAAAACCTTCATAATTAATATGAACTACATGGTTAGCGATGTAACTAAATGGCAGAGCACTTGCCTAACATGTGAGGCCTTGGGTTCAACCATCAGTATGGCAAGGGAAAATCACTACCAAACATGAATATATAAAACTCAGTGGTACATAGTTATTATGAATGTATAATAGCCATGCTCTCTGGTCTAAGAAGATGCCTCAGCAGGAAAATACACTTGCTGTACCTACCTGAGAACCTGCGTTTGATCCCTAAAACTCAAATAATGGTGAAAGAAAAACCCCAACTCTTCAAAGTTGTCTTCTGATCCCCACACAATAATATTTTTTTAAAGTTACACTTCTACTTTTTAATTCTTTCAGATATGGAACAACATACAATTAATAAAATTATATTTGGCTGGAGTGGCACATGCCTTTAATCCCAGCACTCAAGGAATCAGAGGCAGGCGAATTGCTGTGAACTTGAGGCCAGCCTGGTCTACAAAACGAGTACAGGACAGCTAAGGCTACACAGACAAACCCTGTCTCGAAAAACAAAACATAAATAATTGTATTTGCCTGTTCTTTTTCTTTAATATGAGAAAAACAAACTTTCATAATTACCTATTGGATAATCAAGTAGTTAAATCTCATTTCTAGCTTTCAGAGGTTCAAATGAGAAATTTCTCTAGCTAGCACAATTAACACAGAAATCTCATATAAATGACAGATTTTTATTTGCAAAGAACCCGCTTTCACAAAAGATGGCACCAAATGATTCCAAAAATGATTAGGCAATACTGTAATTTGATTATTACATGTCTATACAGTAATTTTTATAAGTTGTTTTTATAAAAGATTATATAATAGCACTTGAAATTCAAATAATAAAGTAACTTCACAGATTATCAGCTGCTTTTCTGATTAATTCGTCATTTATGGAGAACAGAATGTCCTAACAATTCATAGTTTTAGGAGTTTTATGCTCTCTGATTTCTTGTAAAAGCAACTTCAATTTAAGAAACATCCATGCACCCTAGGCTGGTGGGAAATGTCTGAATTCTAGCACTTGGGACGGTAGAGGCAGAAGACTCTCTACATATTTAAGGACAGTATGGTCTACACAGTTACAGGGCTAAAAAAAGGAAAAAAAAAAAAGCAAAACAAAGAAATATTTATGTAGCTTTATTTTATGTATCCAAAGTAATTACAAATTATCTCTATTAGCTTTGGTGTTCTAATAAGAGTAAAGACTAAAAATAGATAGATAGATAGATAGATAGATAGATAGATAGATAGATAGATAGATAAAATCAATTCAGCTTTCAAAATTCCCAATTTTGAATAACTCTGATTCAAGGGCTAAGATTTTCACCAAAATGATTACTTTTACAATTTTATTTTATATGTTTAAGGAGGTAAAAATGCTCCAGAGAGATGGCTCAGCAGGTAAAGGCAGACAAGCCAGATGGCCCAAGCTGGATCCCTGCAACCCACATGGCAGAAAAATAGAACTAGTTCCTTCCAGTTGTCCTCTGACCTCCACATATGTACCATGATATACATGTACACACACACAAAATTAAAAAGTAATACCTTTAAAAGACTGTATTAATGAAATTCTTTAATATTACTCTAATAGGAAAGTTACTACGGAATGCTTTCCATGTTAGATTTTGGACAGATATTTCAAATCTCTCTTTTCTTTGTTCCCCAGTGTTAGGGATGAAACCCTGGCCTCCTACGTGCTGGCTAAGCGCACTGAGCCACGTCTCCAGCCCCACCAAGTAAGCATCTATACTCAAGTGACTAGACAACTTTAGGAGTCACTGTAAATCCATTCTTCTGAACATCTATCTAAGAAAGTATTTTGTAGACTGTTGATGGTTAGTCTTCATTGGCAAAATGGCAGGATTTATAATCATTATGAAAAGAAATCTCTAGACATGTCTGTGAAAAATTATTTAGATTAAACAGAAGCAGAAAAACCCATACAATATAGGAAAAGGGCACCATTCTATAGCTGTTTGATTAAGAATGGCCCCCAAAAGGCTCATCTATTTGAATACTTGGTTCCCAGTTGATGGAAGCGTTTGGGAAGGATTAGGAGGCATGGCTTTGTTGGCGAGGGAATGTCACTATAGGTGAGCTTTGAGGTCTCAAAAGACTCATGCAAATTCCTAGTGCTCTCCTTCTTTGACTACTTATGGATCAAGATGAAAGCTCTCAGTGCTCCAGAGCTATACCTGCCTGTAGCCATGCTCCCCACAATGATGGTTTTGGACTCTGAAATCATAAGCCCCAAATGAACTGTTTCTTCCCTAAGTTGCCTGGGCCTGGTGTCTCATCACAGCAATAGATAAGCAGCTAAGACACATTACATGAGGGGGACCCAGACTGAATAAAAAGGAGAAAGTGAGCTGAGCACAAGTCCTCAGCCATCTGTTTCATGCCTGTGACACTGTGACTAACCTGTTCCTGCTGCCACCTTCCCTGACATGATGAGCTGTAACCTAAAACAGACCCCTCCGTCCTTAGGTTGTCTTTGTCAGCTACTCTGGCACAGCAACAAGGCCAGACACTGCAGACACTGTCAGGTCCCACATTCTCCTCTCCCACTTGGGTACTTACTTTCTGTTTAACTGGTTAGGTCTCTTGAGAACTGCAACTGGTTTCCTTTGTACTTCATTTTGTCTCAGAAGGCTTGTCTTCCTTTTTAATGCTGGAAAATACCGTTCTATATTCTTTTAGAAAGTAAGACAACCGTGTTAATTAATTAGAGTGCCATCTGTTACATACCTTACCATAATAAAAACAGTTTTTTTTTTTTATTGTTTTTGAGACAGGGGCTCTCTATAGAGTCCTGGCTGTCCTGGAACTTATTTAGTCCAGGCTGGCCTTGAACTCACAGAAATCCACCTGCCTCAGTTTCGTGAGTGTTGGAGTTAAAGGTGTATGCCAACACTCTTGGCTTACATTTTCTAATGCACAATGGCAGAGTCCCAAAACTACTTGAATACAATAAAGGAGATGGAGAAAGTAAAATAATCTGACATTTTCATGAGTAACTAAAAGGTAACAATCACATTACACTCAGACACAGATATACCTGAGCTCTTGGGTGGGAAGGTGCTGGTGGTAGAGCAATGTTACTGAAGAACTCAAGAAAAGACTCAGAGGCACAGTGAGGAAGTCTTTAGGTCACTGGGGAAGGAGTGAAGGCATTATGTCAAGCCTGCCCCTCCCTCTCTCTGACTTCTGGTCATGAGCATTTTGCTCCACTATAGTCCCCTGCCATGACCTATCTCACCAGAGGCCAAACTACGCATTTGGCTCCTCCTTACCTCTCAGCAGGAGAACCTACAAAACTCTCAAAGCAAGGCTAAAGGAAGCCTCACTCCTTAATTATTTCAAGTATTATATTAATAAAAGGCTTATAATATTATATTATTTTACTAGAATAATAAAAGACTGACTAACACATTATATAAAAGGATAAAGGCCAACTTCCAAAACAAGAGAATGAAAACAAGGTTTTAATAACAAATAAGTCAGAGTATAATTGACTGGGGTGGGATTTAATAAAAAACACATGAAATATGTAAATATCATAAAATCCTAATTCAAGCTTCCACATTTTCTATGAAGATGTCTCCAAACTCCTTAAATGTGTAGACTATTTCTTATACATTATCTGCATTTTCCTATTGTGTTAAGCATGAAAAGTGCTTAATAAATATACATTGATAATGGATAAAAAAAAGTGTTTAAATACTTTCTTAAATAGTTAGCTTAGATTTATTTATTGTTGTTTATTGTTTTTTTGAGACAGGGTTTCTTCTCTGTGTAGCCTTGGCTGTCCTAGAGTTGCTTTGTAGACCAGGCTGGCCTTGAACTCATGAAGATCCTCTGCCTCCCAGAGCTGGGATTAAGGGTGCGCACCACCAGCGCCTAGCTCTTGCTTTTTCTTGTAAAGACAGGGTCTGTCTACATTTCTCTGGCTACCCTGGTGCCCACCGTGTAACCACAGCTTCTGCCTCCTGAGTGCTGAGATTAAGTCATGCACCACAGCAACTGGCCTAAGTATTTATTCCCTAAGACAGGGTCATGCTATGTAGCCCAAGCTAGCCTCACATTTACAATCTTCCAACCTCCCTCTTCTAAGTGCTAGGATTATGATGTGTGTGCGTGTGTTCACACATACGTTGGACAGAGGTGGATGTCAGGTATCTTCTTCACTAGCTGCCCACTTTATTTTTCTGAGAAAGAAGCCCATGACTATGGAGCGCCCCAAATGCACACTGACTGACTGGGTGGTCACTGCCCCACAGCTCCGTCTGTCTCCACCTCTCCAGTTCTCAAACTATAGCGTGTTGTATGTGGACTGAACTAAGGTCTACAAGCTCGCACAGCAGGTGCCATCCTGATCTAGCTCCCTAGCACCCCCACCCCCACTGGTTCTTAGAGTCTTTAGAAAAGAAGGAAACATAGAAACAAGGAAACAAATTATCAAAAACATAAACGCCCACAAAATTAGACTAATAGCCCATTCCAAGCACTTCGCTGAATTGTGTTCCAGTGTGGATACATGCATATGCAGAGGCCTGCGGAGGCCAGGAGAGGCTGGCGGAGCCCCGCAGCTGCAGTTACAGGTGATCATGGGTCTCCTGACAGGTGCTGAGAACTGAACTCAGCTCCTCTGCAAGAGCAGTACATTCTCTTTACCCAGAAGCATTCTTAAGTGATAACACCAAGGCTCATCTTACAGATAAATGTGTAATTTATAAATGCTCCTCTATGAAACATATTTTTTCTTCAAAGTACCTGGCTTGCTATAATTATTTGTTATAACCTAATTTTTAAGTTTACTTATAGCAAGTATGGTTATAAAGTCCTATAACCCAAGCCTCCCTCAGGAAGTAAAGGCAGGAGGGATCAGGAGTCCACGCCATCTTTGGCTACACAGTGAGTTCAACTATACCCTCTCAAAAAAAGAAAAGAGAACTAAATCTACTAAATGTATATAGATTTTTTGTCACTGTTTCTTAAATACAGTAAAACAACTATAATATTTACATTGTAATAGGAATCACAAATAACCGCAGGACTTAAAAAGTCCACAGAATAGACAATCTATATGCAATACTACACTATATAAAAGACTGTGAGCTATGTGAACATCTTAGTATCAGAGAAGTATCCTGGAACCAATTCCCACAGATATGGAAGGACAACTGTATTTGAGAATGAGGTTTATTTATTTATGAATGGCAGATTTTTACTTAGCTATTAAAATGTTTATGTAAATTCCAAAGTACTTCATCTAAAAAATGAAAATCAATCTGAGCATGGTAGCATATACCTTTATAACCAATACTTGTGAGGAAGAGGCAGACCAATCTTTGTGAGTTTGAGGCTGGCCTGGTCTATACACTGAGTTCCAGCACAACTAGGGCTACAGAATAGAGAGACCCTGTCTCAAACAAACAGATAAGTTTAAATATAAAAATCAGAGGAACATGGGCATGAAGGAACATGCCTGAAATTCCGGCATTTGGGAGGTGGAGGCAGCTAGCCTTAGCTATAAGAGATCCTGATTCAAAAAGATAAAAATGAAGGCTGGGAAATACAGTTTAATAGTACAGTGGCTGTCTAGCTCTGAGTTTAATCTTCATCATACAAAAGAATAAATATACAAGTAAGAATCAAAATTCTCTGAGGCCAGTGAGATGCTCTGTGGGGAAAAGCACCTACTGTGTAGATAAACTGACAACCATCAGTTTATCCCTGGAATCCACATAAAAGTGGAAGGAGAAAACAGATTCCCAAAAGCTGTCCTCTGACCTTCACACATGCAGCCCAGTGCACATGTGCCTGCACACACACAGAGAATATTAATTTTTAAAAAATTAAAGTGGGGGCTAGAGAGATGACTCAGCAGAGGACCTGAATTCAATCCCCAGTACCCCTGACAGGTGGCTTACAAATGTCTGAGACTCCAGCTCCAAGGGCACCTGCAACACACTTAAAATTCTTTAACTTTTTTTTTTTTTTTTTAAAACAATCAAAAAACCCTGAAGCTTGTTCATAAAAACATTAGCCTAGCGAGGCGTGGTGGCACACACCGTTACTCCTAGCTTACTTAAGGGGCAGAAGTAGGCAGACCTCTGTGAGTTCAAGGCCAGCCTGGTCTACATAACAAGTTCTGAAGGCCAGAAAGGACTACAAAATTAGACCTTATCTTAAAATTCACTAATAAGTGTGTGTGTGACAAACATACATGAATATAAATGAAAAATGGTTATCTGGCCTAGGATTAAAGCACCATCCTACCTTGTCACTTAGAGGTGGACGATTCATAGGACTAATTCCTTTTCGAATTCCAGTCGCTTTCCTGGCTGCAAGGCCAGTGATCACTCCATAAGGACGTCTCTTTCCAGGCAACACTCTTCCTCGACGGCTCACACTAGTTTTACCAAAACCTACAGAAGGAAGGAATATTAAAAACTTCGGAATGCAACTGCAAAGTTTATCAGATACTTTACTTCTGAAATAGGGTGGTGTATGATGATGAGTATCAACCTCATGGCCTTACATGTGCTATGTAAACACTACTACTGAAATAGTTCCAGCCCCTAACAATTTCTCAAGAGGACGATCTAAACCACACTTGTGCAATAGAGTAGCCAGTAATTTATTTTTTTGTTTTTGAAACAGGGTCTCATTACATCGTCCTGGCTGGCCTTGAAAATGTTACTACAATGAGGCTAGCCCTGACTTCTCGGCAATCTTCCTGCCTTACCTCCCGAATGCTGTGATTACAGGTGTGTGCCATCATGTTCAGCAGTGGCCACTAATTATATATGGCCACTGAATACTTGAACTACAACTAGCCTGAACTGAGATGGTGCATGTACGTGTGTCATTGATGACTTTGTATTTTATGTTGAAATGGTAATATATTGCATATGCTTGGCTAGGTAAGTCCATTAGCACATGGTTCACATTGTTCTATTAGCATGGATCTACACTAGTCACTAGCTCATCTTCTACTTATCTACTAAGTTACACTTTGGCTTCTTTCTTTTGGCCCTACTCTAGTCAAACTGCCTTGCTGAAATCTTCACTAGAGCCAGTGACCTTATTTTAAACTCTGTGGCATGTAAAATCCCCGAGTTTGCTTTTCTGTTATATAGCTCCTGATTTAAGTATTTTTATAATTATTTAAAAAATGGCCATTCTATACATGAGATTATAAAAGAACAAAATTAATTTTAAAAGCCTAAAGAGAAAAGCTCGCTGCATATTCTAAAAACGTATTTTTAGATTTAACTAAAAATTATATTTTATTATATTTAAGTGTTATCACATGGACAGTAAGCATTTTGTAGTAGTTAAGTACCTAAAGGTGAGCTAAACCAACTTTTCACATCAACTACATTGATTTTCTTGTGTACTATTTTACAGGCTACAGTGTGACTATTATTTCACAGTAGGGAAGTGTTCAACAACCACACACACTCTCAGCCCCCTTTTTTTATCTGTATTGCTCAGTGTTGGGAGATGGGAGAATGGAATTATGCTTTAATTGATATCTTGATTACCAACGAGAATAAGCCTGTATGTATCTCTGGTTTTTTAGCTATTTATATCCTTATTCACATTATCAATGTTCATGAAACAGATTTCTATGACTAAGTTCTGTCTTTCAGAGTTTTAAGAGGAAAACTGGCAGGTGTGGTAGCACATGCTTTTATTCCCAGAACCAGGAAGCAGAAGCAGGAAGATCTCTCTGAGTTCCAGAATAGCCCTGGTCCACAAAGTGAGTTCCAGGGCAGCCAGAGCTATGTTGAAAGACCCAAATAAATAGAAACACTTAAATAAATAGCTAGATATAGACAGACAGACAGAGGGTAATTACGTTTGTTTATAAGTACTTTTAAGCATCTTTACAACACTTTACTATTCAGGAATATGGCATATTATTTCATCATACAAATATTTTTGTGTACTAGGTTGGCTAAGTGAAATTCTTTTTTCTTTTTTTGTATATTTCTTAGTCACACTTATCACTAGAGAGTCTATATACCTTATCAATCACATAAAAGAGTCAGTTCTATTAATTTTAATATTGTCATTCACAGCATCACAGAGTTATTAAGGTCTTAACTGCTACTACTGTTTTGGTTGTGCTGAGGATTAAACCCATGCATGCCAGGCCAGAGCCCTCAACTTTTTAAAATTTCTTAATGCAACAGCCAAAAAATTTCAGAGAATTACGGTGATGGTGGGCAGTCTCATCTTAATTCTGATTTGGATGTCTGTGATAACAAGTAGTCACAACTAAATTCTGATTTTCAGGGGAAAAGTCTTTGGGATGACACCTGCAACATATAACAGGTTTTACAAAAAAAGTCTCATTGTAAAAACTAAGATTAAAGTTAAAATAATTCCTTACTGTAGAATTTCTTAGGACTAGTATGTACTGTCGCTCTTTACGAGGAAGTGTAATAGCATATGTCATTTTAAAGCTTATTTAACTCTGGACCTTTTTGTCTGCTATCCTTATCAGTAATTCTAAGACCAGAGTACAAGAAGACAGGAAAGCTATTCTGCTATGGGGAAGGGGGGTGTATATATCACTGTTAAGTTTATTCTCTCTCAGCTGTCACAGTTCATCCTTTTCTACCTGCCTCTCACAGGAACACTGCTGTTTTATCAGTGGGCCTAACACTGTTGTTAGCAGAGGATGCTGGGAGACTCTGGAGAACGAAGGAACTTTCCTTCCAGGTGCCAGGGTGCTTCTCCTGGTTGTTCCTGTGGCACAGGACACTGAAGAACACTCACCAGCCTTCTTACCCCAGGCTGATACTATCTGGCTATGAAGGCTGATGGCACAAAATTTGTGAGTGACATCTTAAAACTGTATATCCTAAGCACTTTCTAGCTCCCATCCTTGTTTATCTCCCCCCACATGAACTGAAGCAACATCCCACACATGCACAGGCAGCTTCCACTGAGTCACATTAGGAGAGAAACTCAAAGAACTTCTCTGCCATCCGGGAGGCCATGTCACGATTTCACCCTCTTCAATAAGGTCAATTCAGGTGTGGGGGGAGTGGTAGTGTGTGTGTGGTCCAGGTATGTTCCTTTCTTGGATATTCTCATTCCTAGAAGTATTAACTACTATTAATTTTAACAGAAAAAAAGCAGTAACAATACATTTTAAATTAAACCATTTATGTTCTATATGTGATGTCCTGGAATGATTAAACTATGTTGAGTGAATTTGAATATAAAATCTATGACTTGCTATTTCTATGTGTATCAACTACTGAAACAGCTAGCACTTATGGTGGTAGTCCTGTCAAATGTTCATTTTCATGAGAACCTGATGAGACTAATGCTACCATCCTAATTCTGTAGGTAAGGCAAAGAGCAGTGATGACTGAAGGGTCACAGAGAACAGAAGCATGCTCTACATGAAGGTTTGTATAGCTCTAACACTGGAATACTTCTCCAGACTGTGATATAAAATTCAAATAATCAAAGATTATAGTCCACAGTATATTTTTACAGAGGAAAAAATAAGCTTTAAATAGCTGTTACAAAATGAGCAGGACTTGAACAGGACACAAAGACATTCTAGTTTGTGAAACAACTGTAAAGACACAGGTGAGCACAGCATACAGAGACATGTACCTCTAGGGAAGGGTAAAGTGAATGGATGTACTGGGCTCAAATCACCTAGGATTGGAACAGACACATTGTGTGACAAAGAATTCATGATAATATTGCATCAGCTTACACTCAGTGCTTTAGACCTCAGAGGAACAAGAATGCAGTAAAACCCACTTAGGATGAAAGCTACAGTAGATTCAAACTTGACAGTACTAAGAGAGGACAAAAACTGAAATTACTACATAAGAGTGAACTGATTTTTTCTTACCTTATAATAGTTTACCTTTTTTGTTTTTGTTTGGTTTTGAGACAGGGCTTCTGTGTAGCCCTGGCTGTCCCGTACTCCCTCTGTAGAACAGGCTGGCCTCAAACTCAAGAGATCCACCTGCCTCAGTCTCCCGAATGCTGGGATTAAAGGAGTGCACCACTATTGCTTGGCTTGGTTTACTTTTTTAATATACAATATATTTTGATCAAATTCTTCTTTTCTCAACTCTTTCCAGACCCTTCCTCCCTCCATCCCCATTTAACTTCACTTTCTCTCTCCAGAAGAGTAAATTATAAAACAAAACAAAAAAAGGTTAAAAGGAGAAAGAAACGATTCTTATACCCTAGTTTCGGGGTCTAATGAAACAAACAAGAACAACTGGAATAACATTAAAAACAAAGTAATCCTCAGAGTCTCTCCTTTACTTTCTCCCACTTCTGACCATCTGTGTACACAACAGTGTATACAACATGGCTCCCACACACATTATTCTTTCTACTGACTTCTCTCATCTGTGACAACTAGACACAGAAAATTCACCTTTCTTTTGAACCGCTACACTAGTCCTTTCCATGAATTCTCTTCACACATACATCCTTTGCTTCAACAATTGTAGAAGCCCTTAAGAAGTAACTGAAGTCATGAGGAGGGAGCTTTCACGGGCTCAGTACCTCAGAGGGTTCTCTACCCTCTTTTCACCTCATGAGGCTATCACAGAAGTCCATGGGCTTCACCCCAGAAGGCTTTTATCAGAACTTAACAGCGGTGGAATGCTGATCTAGGACTCACAGACTCTAAAACCAAGCAATACACTTACTGAGGTTTATAAACTATCCAGTCCATAGTAATTTTGTTATAGCAGGATAAACTAAGGTACTACTTCTGTATTTAATCAAGTTAAATAGCACACATCATTACAGAATGACAATACCTTGATATAAATGCAGTTTTTGTCTTGAAGACCTCTTTAGTCTTTAGATTCTCTACAGGTGCACAAATAACATTTTAGCTACTACTGGTATTTGCTTTGGTTTTTGTTTGTTTGTTTTTACCATAGACATTAAAGTTGTTTTCTAAAAATTTGTTTATTTTATGTATCTGAGTGCTTTATCTGCATGTGTGCCTGCATGCCAGAAGAGGGCACCAGATCACATTATAGATGATTGTGAGCCACCAACTTGGTTGCCAGGAATTGAACTCAGGACCTCTGGAAGAGCAGACAGTGATTTTAACCTCTGAGCCATCTCTCCAGCCCTCGCAAAGTTGTTTTTTTACAAGTGACAAGGGGTTAAAAAGCTTCTATTTACTTATTTCTTTCAGCCATCAAAATCATACTGAGTATCTGACAATGGTCATATGCTTTGTTAGTTATTCTCTTCCCTTAAATTAATATTACTGATATCACAAGGTGGAAATCTTAAACTCTTCCCAGCCAATTACACATTAACAAAAATGCCCCTGTCCGTCTGTGTCTCTCTGCATATTCAATAGCAACAACAACTGCTCTATTCTAACCTGGCATGACAGCAAAGAGCCAAACTGAGTGCAACCTCAATCTCAGCAGTTGCTCAGCTTCCCCTATGTACCATTTACTTCAAGGCTGAAATCATACCCTCATAAAAAGATAACTTTTGAGATTCTTCATGGATCGAATCAAATCTCATTTTATTCATCACACTTTCTATTAGCACGAAATCCTTATGTGAAGATACTGCATCTTTAAAAACTTACTTTACGTGTGTGTGAGTGCTTTGCCCTGCATGCATGTATGTATGTATATATGTACATGTGTGCCTGGTGTTTGCCAAGGACAGAGGAGGGTGTTAGATCCCTTGGACGTGTGGTTATAGATAGCTGTGAACCACCATGTAAGTGCTGGGAATCAAACCTGGAGCCTCTGTGCTCTCTACTGCTGAACCATACTGTATCTTTTGTCCTTCCCTCCCTCCCTTACTTCCTTCTCTTCATCTCTCATCATGTTATCTCAACTTTGGCTGTTATATTTTGTTTTTTTTTCTTTAAGACAATCTTACTATAAAGACCAAGCTGGCCTTGAACTTTCAGCAAGCTTATCTCTGCCTCCCAAATGCTGAGATTACAGGCATGCATTGCCATGCTCAGCTATGACATTTTTAAACTATTGTCTCTAAGTTACTTGTTACTAAAAATTAACTCCTTAAAGTAAAAGAGTTGTATCTTTACACATTCATGGAATCAGGCAGTTCAAAAACATTTATCAGATACACAAAATATTAGTAGATACTATTTCTAGCAATGCTAGACTCTAAAGGATTACTTCAAAACAAAACATGAAAATATATATAATGATACATTAAATATGGTAAACTGAATAACAACCGTAAAGAAATCTTTAAAACAAACCAACAGAATTACACAAATAACTGTCACAAAATTACATAAATAACTGTAAAATGTACAAACTAAATCCAGCTACTTAAAAAATTATTAGAGGCTGAACTATGGTTCAACTGGTAAGAGCACCTGGTTCTCTTCCAGATGACTCAAGTTTAGTTCCCAGAACTCAAGTCAGGTGGCCCACAACCACATGGAACTCCAGCTCCAAGGTCTCCAATGCCGGATTTCCATCAGTAACTGCACTCACATGAACACACCCCTACATACAATTAAAAATAAAAACAAATCTTTAGAGAACAGTGGAGTTTCTTGTAGGTTCCAGTCTCAGTTTTATATATATATGCTGTTATATTACCTGTTAAATATAAGTTATACTCTACTACTTAAGATTAATGCTTTTTAAAATACGGAATAAAAAATTAAGTTGATTAATTTGGCAGTTATTTTTATTTCTATGAAAAAGATGTAAGTTTCTTTTTATCTGAACAAAAGTTTATTCTAAGATGCTGATATAGCTGCTAAAAATAGGTTATAATCTATATGTTGAATTATTATTCCCAATCTATTTTAGAACAAAATACTACAGGAAAGTAGTTATTATATTATCAAACGTAACTACATGTACATTATCTAATTGTACCTAGAACAGTCAATTTAGAGTGTTGTCTTTGGGAAATTTACAAATAAAATTCTTAGATGATAAGATAGAGTCTGGAGGAAAGCTGGGCAAGGTGATACACAACTTTAATCTCAGTACCTGAAGGCAGAGGCTGACAGCTCTCTGGGAGTTTGAGGCCAGCCTAATCTAGATAGCTAGCCATGGCTACATAGTGAGACACTGCCTCAAAATAAAGAAAGAAAGAAAAAGAGACAAAGAAAGAAAAATGATCTATCTGCAGGTGATTTTCTTTGCAGAACAGCAGTGTCCACATAGTAAAGGATTCTCATTTACAAAGTGAGAATGTTTCTTGTCATACTCAGACATGCTTCTTTTCAAATTAGAATGTTCTAGTAAACACAGCTGTCCCACAATAGAACAAATTCTCTTACTGTGCACTATGCTCTTTCACTCAACAAATTCAAACTGGAGTCAGTTACCCATCAAACTGTCACGGGGAAGAAAACAGGAACTGATGAATCTTCAGCAGTTCTAAATCTAATCTAATTTAAACTACTTATAAACTGAGATTACTTTTAAACAACTAAATATTTTAAGAAATCAATTATCAGCTATTTTAGGAAATAACGTTTTTCCAGGTTTTCAGAATTAAACAAAAATCTAAGAGTAATAAAAATCACAAAGTGATGCTGGTGTATTCTTCCAGGTTTTAAGTCTATTTATTCTTCCAGGTTTTAAGTCTACACTGAGTCCATAGACAACAGCATTTAAACCTTACCAGAATTCTGCTGGATTCCCCAACGTACTCTCATCCTGAATTGCCGGGTACCACTTTGCTGGAGTCTTCTATTTAATCTTGGAAAATTTTGCTTCTTTCCTTCCTTTCTATTCAGTTTGATAATATCATCTACAAAAGAGGTAAAGCCACAATTGTTTTCATTTTAACACAATGAATACATTGTTCAGTCTCATTTTATAACCCATAAATTTCTCCTACGTCCCTAACTTAGTCCCCATTATTATTATCTTAGCTCTTTCAGACAGGCTTGGTGTGAGGCCAAAGCTGGCTACGAACCTGCTACAGAGCGTAGGCTACCTGAACTCCCAATCACTTTCCCTCCTCCTAAGCTTCAATTAGCCATTTTGCCTGCTAAAATGCTTGAAAAGTTTCTCTAACAGTTCCAGTCAACAGACAAAAGCAGATCTACCAATTACTGAGTTCTGCCTGGGAGACAGGACAGTAGGTAGATTCAGCTTAGTAGTGTTTGGCTACATGTAAGGCCATGGGTTCAAATCTGTACTATGAACAACAACAAAATGTACACTCTTGCTGTTGGGCTGGTGGCACATGCCTGTAATCTTAGCAAGAGGAGGCAGAGGCAGGAGGATTAGGAGTTCAAGGCCAGCTTTGACTACATATTGAGTTTGAGGTGAGCTTCAGCTCTCAGAGTGACTATCTCAAACAACAACAAACCACCATCACCACCACCAAAACCAAACAAAAACAACAACAAAAAAAAACAATCAACAAGCTCAAAAATAGTAACAATAACAACCTCAGAAGAGCAAATTTCTAAAAACACCTGAATTCAGAAAACACTTATTGGATGCATACTTTATTCATGTTTAAGACTGCTGATAGTCCCCATTCTCAGTAAGGTTAAGTTACTCATGAAAACGGGCATGCAAACAGCAGGCAAAATTAACAAGTATCATAATAAGGGTAAGGTATTTCGGTTCTGTTTTTCTCTAGAAGTCATTCATAATGACTTCTTTCTAATCTGACCTCTCTAATTCTGTAGGCTTTATTATTTCCAAAACACCTCAAAATAATTCATACACACCATACCGTGTTAATACTAAAATGAACAATGTAAAGGTGAGAAAACTACATGTATTTCAAATTCTTATTACATGTCAGAGGTTACTAGAAACCAACCATATACTCATTCAAAAAGGATCTGGCACCAGGAAGATGGCTCTGCAAATAAAGGTAACCACCACCAGCTCTAATTTTATTATTTTAAAATTACTTATTTACTAATATTTAAATGTTTATTACCAGATCAACATAGTAAAAGAAAAGAACTGATCCCCACAAGCTGTCCTCTGACTTCTACACCCATACTGTGGTGTGCAAGCCCAGACACAAAAAATATGCATTTAAAGAAAAGAAAGAAATAGCCAAACTCAGCTGAGTGTGGTAGCACACACTTGTAATCCCAGCAGAAAAAGACTGCTGTAGCTTCAAGGCCAGCCTTGGCTATATAATGCCACACTTTATCCCAAAACAGACAAAAAGGATGAAAGAACGGAAGAAAAGGAAGGATGAAAAAAAATAAAAAAGATTCTCTAATCTCTAAGCCAATGTTAGTTGTGATGACTGACATAGCAAATAACCAAAGAAACTACACTGTCAATAACTTTCTACTAAAGCTAAAAGCTAATTCCAATCATTTTTTCCAAATCACTTTAACCATAAATATGTCAATGTAATTAGTTTTTCCTAAACCAAAGAAAGAAATCCACGAGGCTATAAGGATAATTTCTTACATCATTTGTATTATTCCTCCCAGAAGTTGTCCTCTGGCCTAAACATATATAGCAGCATGCATACACATACACAAAAATAAATATATGTAATTTATAATACTGCAAAATACAGTTTTCTCTTTAGATCAATCTCCAACTGCAAAATAGCTCACTAAACTTAAAAACACAAGGGCTCAGAGTGTGGCTCATGGCTGAGTGCTTCCTAGCATTCTAAGACGCTAGGTTTGACCCTCAATACCGGTTAATAAGATAAAAGATACTAAAAACCATTTGTGTAAGACACATCCCTCCACTGAAGAAAAATACCCAAAAAACAATTAGAGAGAAAGGGGGTTTTTTGGAGGTGAGGCACTCATAAATTTCAGAGGTTTCATTCAGTCTGTGGTCACCTAGCCCCATTGTTTCTAAGTCGGCAGTGACACGTAACATCATGACGGAAGGGCACAAGGGAAAGCTAATTGCCTCTTGACATCCAGGAAAAGAAGTGGGTACAACCCTTCAAAGGCACAGCTTCAGTCCTGCTTCCTCTAACTAGGCCCTGCCTCTCCTAAATAACCCATTCAGTCACAGACTCATCACGGTTTAGTCCAGGATTAACGGCCTTCATGATTCAATCACTCACTCAGTAGCGCCACCAGCTGGGGGACCTTATATAGGAGCCTTCTGGAAGAAACTATCTTTAAACCATTAACACTGGGTTTAAAACAAAAGGTTTCACAAATACCACATATATAAACTTATTAAAGTCTCATGGAGAAGAAAATGGGAAGCACTGTTTTCCCTTAAAAGGTTACTATTTACTTTCCAGTAGACATGTACAACCTCAAAGCTTTCAGAACATACCAAACCATGGATTTGGTCAGATTAGGGCAAAGGAGGTGTTCGTTTTAACTACTTGCGTAGTTCTGCTGCTGTAAGACAAGGTTCCATTTACTATGTAGCCCTGGCTATCTTACCTCAGACCAGGCTGGCTTGGAACTTAAGAGTTATCTCCTACTACCTCCCAAGTGCTGGGATCAAAGGCCTGTGCCACAATGATGCCCAGCATACCACGGTAATTTTTACACAGAACATAATCAGCCTAAACCTAGCTGAAATGAATTGGAGATGAGGTCTTAACTTGTGGCCCAGGCTAGCCTCGAAATCATGATCCTCCTGTCTCATCTTCCACAGTGCAGGCATACTGGTCTATAACACAATTCTTGCCACAACTAAAGGAAAACACCTTATTACCTAAGTCCTTAGACAAAGCCTTTTGATAGGAGAAAATGGCCATTCCAACCCAATGATTACAGGGCGTAAGTATTAAAAGAAAATCCATTACAATGAACTACTTTATAAAAACTTTCTTCTGGGGCTAGACAAAGGGTCAGCAGTTAAGAGCACCTGCTGTAGGCAACGGTGGTGGGGCACACCTTTAGTCCCCGCACTGGAGAGGCAGAGGCAGGCAGATTTCTGAGTTTGAGGCCAGCCTGGTCCACAGCCTGAGTTCCAGGACAGTCAGAGCTACACAGAGAGACCCTGTCTCAGAAAAACAAAACAAAAAGGGCACTTGCTGCTCTTCCAGAAGACCTAGGTTTATTTTAATTCCCAGTGACCACAATTCAAGTTCCAGGGGGATATGACACCCTTTTCTGGTTTCCACCGGCACCAGGCACTCATGTGGTACACAGATGTACACAGAGGCAAAACACTCATCCACATAACCTTGTTTTTTTCTTTAACAAAAGAAAAACATTTTTTCCATAGCATTGTACATGTGTATGTATGAGATAATTATAGTGCATTCAGTTATTCTCATAACACTCCTATGAAAAGTTACAAAATTGTTTTTTAAATTAAGAAATTGAGCTAATGTCAATTACCAGTTAACTTGGTAGATAATCTACATAAATTCTCACATAAATCTGGCAAAGAGAGAGAGAGAAAAAAAAAAAGAAAACCATATTCTAAAATTTGGGTGTTTTTTTTTTTGGGGGGGGGGAGAGGATCCTCACTATGCAGCCATGGCTGACCTGGAACTTGCCTCAAACTCAGAGATCTGCCTGAGCCTCCATATTGAGGTTAAAGGTGTGTCTCATCACAACCAGTTACAGATTCTAACTTCTGCAGACCTGGTAATCACCTCTCCATCACAAATCTCTAAGAGTCTCACGAGAAGGAAAACACCTGACAGACTGATGTACTCTCCTGAGGAAAAGACAGCACTAATTTCCTACTTTGAAAAAGAATCAGCCCTCTTTAATTCATGTCCTAATTATCAAACAAAATACATACAAAGGGGGCTACAGGAGTGACTGGTCACTAAAGTGCTCACCCAACAGGCATGAAGACTTCACCTACTGACTATTTAAGACTTTGAGCAATTCTCTATTTCAGACTCCTGTAAATGAGTTCAGATGCCCAGCACTCACATACAAAGCTGGGTGCTGTGGCACATGTCTGTGGTCTCAGCAATCAGGAGGCAGACACAGGATCCCTGACACATGCTGGCCAGCCAGATTAACCAGATGGATGGGCTTCAGGTTCAGTGAGACTCTGTCTCAAAAAGGTAGGCAGTGATAGCTCCTGCACACACACAGATACGCACGCACATACACATACACTAAATACACACAAAACACAAGATGGCTCAGTGGGAAAAAGCCTGATGACCTGAGTTTAATCTCTGGAACCAATGGCAGGAAAGAACCAACTCTTGAAAACTTATCCTTACCTCCATGAGTGTTGTGCCATGCACAACAAACACACACACACACAGAGGCAGAGGGAGAGAGTATTTTTAAAGACACACAAAACTATGAGCTCCTGATGTATACTGGCTGTGAAGAGAAATGTTTAACAATCCCTGTAACATCTATAGTTTGTAGCTCTAAAGCCAGACTGGAATCCTGACTTCACCTAATGACTATTTAAGACTTTGAGTAAATTACTTCTCTATTTCAGACTCCTGTAAATGGTAATAACAATAATGGCACACATTCTATGTATGTAGTGTGGATGTATATACAACACAAGGCCTTTAATTCCAGCAGTCATGGGGCAGAGGCAGGTCATCTTGTCAGTTTGACGTCACCCTGGTCTACAGGTAGTTTTCATTTACCTGTTGACTCATTTACTAAACCAATTCCATGAGGTAGTCACTATCACTTTTACACTTTTTAGTTATATTTGTATGGTTGTAGATTTGTGCATGTGAGCACAGCGCCCATGGACGGCAAAAGAGGGAATGGGATCTCTGGAACTGGAGTTACACAAAGTTGTGAGCCAATTTGGGTGCTGGGAACCAAACTTTGGGTCTCAGACTATACTCCTGCCCACTGAGCAATCTAAGGCCACTATCACCTTTTTAGCCAAGAAGCACCAATTTGTCCATAGTCAAAGGGCTATGTAAGTGTCAGAAGCAGGACCCCCATGGCTAGTACGGGCTCTAGATCACTTACCACTAGGAGTAAGTACAACCCTTGTGAGGGTGTGGTGGTGCACACCTTTGAATCTAGCACTTGGGAAACAGAAGCAGGTGAATCTCAGTGAGTTCCAGGCCAGCCTGATCTACAAAGGGAGTTCTGGGATAGGCAGGGGTGCTTATGTAGAGAAATCCCTTCTTGGATTTTTTTTTTTTTTTAAGAAAAGGAAATTAAATGTAAATATTTAGTCCACTGCCCAGCAGCATGTAAGCATTGACTAAAAACCTGTTATACTAATTCATGGCTTTTGCTCAAAAGCTGTCATTTTTTTTTTTTTTTTAAGTTCATTACTGATCAGCAGTGTGGGCAAACATATTCCTGTTAGTTCACTAATTCAAAAATTAGGTTCTGACTTGAGGCAACCCTAGAAACCAAGGAAGAGCTCTTAACCACTGACCAAAAACTTTCCAAGTAACAGAAGCGATAACACGAATTAAATAACAAGGAAAAGAATGTTTCCAAGCCCAGGATTACCCTAACCACCATCCTCAAGAAGGGTTACACCTGAGTTCAGTAGTCAGGTATTTTATTTTTTAAAATATATCAAAGAGGGGAGGGGGCGGAGAGAAAAGACCCGGAAAGAGAAAAAGGAGATGGCACTGACTCTATCCAATACCGTAACTTGACTCTACAAAAAAAAAAAAAAAAAAAGAATTACTTTTGGATCCGCTCAGCCAAACAGAAGCCTTCGTAGTGTTGGATCTGAATTTTTTTCTTTGTAAGAAACTAAAGCAACCATCCTCAGTCTTTTCTTACATAACCAGCGGCAAACCACGGCATCCTTTCCCAGGCGTCCTGGACCCCTTTTAGGCACACCTGACTTTTTTTTTTTTTAATCAATCTGCGCACATCTCTCCCTCCCCGCCCCCAACCGGCTAACTTTGAAACCCGGCTGGGGAACGCGCCTCGGTAAACACCTCCTCAAGCTCGGCAACACGGCCGCCGCTTGAACGATCCTCCGAGCGGCCGTTCTGGGACCGCGTCCCCGCCCCCGGCGTTCCCATGGGGGGCGAGGGGGGCGCCGGTTGGAAATCGCCGGTGTCCGGCGCACGTCCGGGCACGGTCACGTCAGACGAGCCCTTCACGAGGAAAAGGCCCCGGGGGCCGGGGGGTCCCCAGGAGACCGCGTCCCGCGGGGCAGCAGGGCAGCACCCGCTGACCCGGCCGAACGCGCCGCCTGTGCGGTCCTCGCCGCGGCCCCTCCCCGCCCCCGCGGGGGACGGGGTGCACGCCGGGGGGCCTCTCCCGCCCCGCCTGGGGGTCCGCGCCGGTCCCGCCCACGCGCCGGCCAAGCCGACAGGCGGCAGCGGCCAACTAACCGCCCCTTCCCCCCACCGCGGCTCCCGCCCCCTCCCCCACCGCGACGCGGCCGCCCCGGCCCCTCACCCAGGGACATATCGATTTTGTCGAGGTTCTCATTGCTTCGGGCTTTCGGCGGCGGCGGCGGGGTCGCCGTGGCTCCCACCAACCGGGTGCCGAACCGGTTCATGACGGGGGATGCGGCGTCGGAGCAGTCAGCCGGGAAGGCCAGAGTCGCAGGCCCGCCGCCTCCCACTCACGCTCGCAGACTAGCTGCAGCGCGGAGCGCGCACGCGCGCCGGCGGCGTCCTCGCCCTCCCACCCTCCGCGGCGGGCGGAGAGGGGTGCCACCGAGACGAACGGCGGGCCAGAGCGGCCCGCGCGGACCTGGCGCACAGCGGCCCTTGCCGGTCGGGGGCGCCGCGCCGGACCTCGGGAGGCGCGTCCTCGGGCGCCGCGGAGAGCCGCTGGTCGTCCGCCCTCGCGCCTCGACGCCCCGCATCCTCGGCGGCGTCTGGACCCCGGCGCCTCCGAAACCCAGCCTGAGACGCTAGCTCGGCCCTGCTGTCCTCCGGGCCGTCCCCCCGCTGTGCCACCTCGGGAGGCTCGACCCACGGACCCCTGCGAGCGTCGATTGCAGCCATGGGTCCCGGCTCCCCTCTCCTTGAGTTGCCACGTCCGATGGCGAAGGCTGCAGTGACAGTTCTTGCGTCACCTGAACAATAAAAGTAAATGCCAATGTACCTGCACCATCTCTCGGTCGGCACTCTATGAACACTTGGCACGGTACTAGCTACCTTAGTGAGACCTCATCTTCCCTTGGGAGGGTAAGTACTTCTGTTTATTTAGCTGCAATTTTCTACTACTCAATTGAGTTGTGAGAGGAATCATATAGTTTTCCCTTAACCGTCCTTATAGGAAAACTTACTGTTTGCATCCCTGCTTTCTAACTCGTTTCTGCTTCACAAAACGTTGTGTTCTCCCCCCCCCTTTTTTTTTTTTACCTCATTCTCCCACAACGCACTTGCGTGGAAGCATGCCTGTTATTCTGTCTCTCCCCTAACAGCCCAAAATCATCTCCGAAATTTTCATCTAAGGAAAACAACAAACAAACCCAGTGTCAAATCCGTGTAGAAATCTCTGCCATTTTCTCCGCTTCCTAAAATTTCTTTAGTGGAGACCGGAGCCAGAGCTTTGTGGTGATCCAAAGTATCTGAAAACCACAGTATCCTATATTTAACTTAGTAATGTCACAATCCATGTGGTTTGCAAATTCAACAGCTGTGACACATTTTACTATTTTTTCCTTGGGCCTTCCATAACTTAAAAACATCTCTTATCATGCACAATTGTATTTATAAATAACTTATTCTCTAACTTTTACCAACCAAAACCTAATTATATCACATCTGCCCTTTCCAGTAAAGGTTGTGACAGTTATTGATTGATCTTTTAAAACAGAACTATATGCTAAAGCTTCCTATATTTGTAGTATGGTTAAAACCAAAAGCCATTTTAAGTTATGATACCAGCCAAAAGCATTTGTGTGTGTGTGTGTGTGTGTGTGTTTGATGAAACACACTAGTCGAGAAAATGTGAAATTTTTGTTGAGACTTTGAGAAATACAATTCCTTATTATCAAAAGTCAAGTTGGGCCAGGTGTGGTGTCCAGTGCCTTCAATCCCAGCACTTGGGAGCCAAAGAATCAAATGTTTATGTGTTGGAAGCCAGCCAGAGCATAGTTATGTTCCGGGACAATCAGGACTATGTAAAGAGACCCTGTCTCAAAACATCAAAAATCAAGATGTTTTCTTTCCCATGCAAGAATATAATTGTATAGAGTCAATTAACATAGTACACATCTATCAAGACATACAAGAAAGTAACGGTCAAAGATTTGAATTAGCCAGATCCAGCAATAGAATCTGGCACATCAGGTAGAATAGCCTGATGATGCTCTTGCCACAAGGTCCTAGAGTTTGCTATTCTACTCTCCAACTCCCACCTCCTTTGAACTGCTGGCAACTGGGAAAGCTAGATTGTAAAGAAGAATGTGTGTTTGTGGCCAGGCATAGTGGAGTACGCCTGTGATCTTAGCATTCAGGAAGCAGAGGCAGGTGGATCTCTCAGAATTCCAGGCCAGCCAGGGCTACATAATGAGACTGTGTCTCAAAACAACAAAACCAAAACCAACCAACCAACCAAACAAAAAAGTTACTAAAGTTCCTGGGTTTATTAAGTCTATTGCCGTTTTCTTCAGTCATTTGATATATTACCTTATAAAATTCTATAAGCCTTAGTCATCTTCAAAACAAAGAGTACATTCTAAGTTCTGCTAAGATTCTTCACAACTCTGAGTTGGGTGGTGGTAGTTCATGCCTTGAATCCCAGCACTTGGGAGGCAGAGACAGACAGATCTCTGAGTTTCAGGCTAGCCTGGTCTACAGAATGAATTCCAAAACAGCCGGGGTTACACAAAGAAACCCCGTCTTGGAGGAAGAGGGAGAAGATTCTTTACAGTTCTGAGATCCTTTTAAGCACAAGACATTTCTGCCTGCAGTAGACCAGTGTCATTAGTTCCAACTTCTCTACTCATGTGTAGGAGTAAACTACAAAGAAGAATTGTAGATTATTTATTTTTTTTTTTTTTAACAGCAGGGTCCTATATGCAGCCCTGACTGTCCTGGAGCTCCCTAAGTAATCAGGCTGGTCTTTTATTCACAAAGATCTGCCTGCCTCTGCCTTTGTAGTGCCAAATGAGTGCTACTATACTCATCCTGGACAGTCTACATTTATCTGTTTATTTACTTAACTTTATATTATTTATTATATGTCTCTGTGTGAGCACATGTAACCTGCACAGGTAACATGGACAGTGTGGAATCAGAGGACAACTGTGGGAGTCTATTCTCGAGACAGGGTTTCTCTGTGTGTAGCTTTGTCTGTCCTGGACTCACTTTGTAGACCAGGCTGGCCTTGACCTTACAGAGATCCGCCTTCCTCTGCCTCTCTGAGTGCTGGGATTACAGGAGTGCACCACTGGACCTGAATGGGATCAAACTCTTGTCAGGCACCCTTACCCACTGAACCATATTATTGGCCCATCTTGTTTCTAATCTTATGTTAAAAAAAACAAAGGCATTTAGATTTTGGAAGCATGCATTTGATATAAAAAAATGGGTATGCTTAGATTTTGGATTTTTTAAATTTTAAGTGTTTATAGAACAGATAACAAATGTCCATTGTATTAAAACCTTTTCTATACCAATATAGTAAATACTGCATTTTCTCCCAGTCTTCTCTCAAGACAGATGCCTGATTCCAAATCTTTTAGTTTTAGAATGTTCACCGGTCCCCCATCAAGTATTCCTTCTTGTTTAGTTTGGAATGTCAAGTTTTCCCAAGGGCTAAGGTCTCAGAGATTCAGAGACTCTCCCAGACTTCAAAGGATAGGAGAACAAAGTATTGTGGTAATATTATGTCACTAGATAGGTCACACACAAAACACAACAAAAATAGCAATTAATCATAAATCTTTCTATCTCTAGAGATTTGCTCATTCTGGACCTTTCATGTAAACAGAGTCATACAATATATGGTCTTTTGTGTCCAGCCTCTTTCCAGGCTTTCTAGGTTTACTCATTTTTTAGCAGTAAGTCCAATCCTCACTCCTTTTAATGCTTGAATAGTATTTCATTGCATAGATGTACCACATTTTCTTTACCCATTTGTCAGTTGCAGAAGAGTTGGACTGTTTTCACTTTTTGGTTATTATAAATAGTATGATATGAACATTCATATATGAGTTTTGTGTGGACATAAGTTCTCACCTCTTAGGAATATACTAGATATAGCTTGCTGGCTCATAGGACAGCTCTTTAACTTTTTCAGGAACTGGCAGATTCTGTTTCAGAACACCTACATTTTATTCCCAGCAACTACATGTGAGGGCACTAGTATTTCTACATGCTCCACACAGACATTAGTACTTGCTAGTATTTTTGTGAAGAAATTTGACTTTGTACTTGTATTTCAATTGAAGTTGTGATCAAAGATGTGTTCTACCTGCACCAACATTACCGTAGAGACTGGACTTAGAAATAATCAAAGTCAATTAGGTGGTGTAGTCAGACTGTCTATAAACTGTCTTTGGAGTTACAGTTTGATTCCCATAAGCCCTGTCACTTGAGGTAAATAGTTAAATTCTCTGATTCTCAATTATACTTCCCTCATATCATACTAATAAGTTGTATTTCCAGGAGTATAGTCAAGCTTAGCATTCTGAATTTTGCATTATCTTGAGGGTTCATATTGAAATAAAATAATTAAAAGTCATGAATACAATATTAAGTATAAATAATGGCTTATGTCATTATGGCTATGTGATAGTTAATACTAATTTTTGATTTGACAGGCTCTAGAATCAACTGGGAGACACACCCTTCAGACATGTCTATTAGGAAGTTTCTAGGTGGAGGTAATTGAGGTAGAAGGCTCACATTCCACGTGAGCAGTACTCTATGAGCTGAGGTTGGCCATTCATCTCCTTCAGCTGCCTTATTGCTCCCGCCTCTGTGCCTTCCCTGTTATACTTGTGCATACACGGGCGCCACTCACAACTGGAACTGTTGCCCAGCTAGGTACAAAGGCTGGAGTTAAAAGGTGTGAGCATCAGTTACTCAGTTAATTATATGGTCACTGTGCCCCAGGTGTTGTAATAGGCGCAGAGGAGAAACAGTAAACACTGTGGACACAGACAGCTTGCAGAGCAAAAGCTACTTTCTGAGCCCCTGTGTGAATGAGGCACTGTGCTGGAGTGCGTGGCGTACGTGTCTTTGCCTGAAATGGAGCAGTTCAGAATCCTCATCTAAGTCAAAAGGACTAGAAGTCAAGCAGCCACCCTTGTAGAGGCCTGATTTCATTCCATATAGATAAGATAACATGTGTATGGCCAGAGAAAATAGAGGGACAATCAATGTGAGTTTCAGATAAGACATGATATGTCACATGTTTCAGATAAACAGCAATTTTTACTATTTGTATGTGATGTAGTATTTAAGATGATATATTATACGTGTGGGGGTATTTAGTGGTGTGTGTGGATGTGTGTGTGTGTATATATGGGTAGAATTTGAATGCCAGACCTTGTATTAGGCTCAGAGGATAATGTACCTCTTTGCTCAGCTTAAAGAGCAAATAGTATTTCCTGAGCACCTAGAGGCTTTCTATACAGTGTGCGTATGTATGTGTAGGCATATAGTGTTCATGTACGCAGGCAGGTGCGCGTGTGTGTAGATGCCAGAGATGAACCTCTGGTGCGCTTCCTCACAAACTGCCCGGCATACTTTTATTGTTACTAATTTGAGAACAACACTCCCTCTTCCTGCTTGAGACACAGGCTCTTACCTGGGACCCTGGATTCACCAATTATGTTAGGCTGGCTGGACAGACGCCCCGGGAATCCATCTGCCTCCAGTGTGCCGCCACGCCTGGCTTTTTAGCTTAGTTCTGAGGCTAGAACTCAGGTCATCTCAGGTCTTCATGCTTGAATTGCTATTGCTTTGCCATTGAACTTGGATTTTTTTTTTTGAGACAGAGTCTTGCTATGTAGCTCAGACACATTGCTCACAACTTTCTCACACTTAACCCCTTCACTATATTTTGTTTAATGTACTTTTTAGATTTCCTTTTCCCCTTTTATTTGTATATAATTGATAGCCAATAAAAGACATTCATTTAAAGTATACAGCGTATGTAGATTCACAGAGCAGATACCTGTGGAAATGCCACCATAACCCAAATAATAAATATATCAACCACTTATAAATGTGTCTCTTCCCCTTACCTATCGTGTAGGGGGCCACTAATTTGGTTTCTTCTGCTGTTGATAAGTTTTCAGGTTTTGGGGTTTTTTTTTTTTTTTTTTTTTAGCTTTTTCTATGAATGGGCTCATACAGTATTTTTAAAAAGCTGGATGGTTTCACTTAGTATAACTGTTTCGAATCTCTATGTCTTTTACTTGCTGTGCAGTGACTCTAGTACTATGCTTTAATTAGTGGTGCAACTGAACATCTTTACCTTGTTCTCAACCCCAGAGGGAAAACATTCTGATTTGGGGGACTTTTCTTTCTTTTTTGTTTTATTTTCTTCTTCTTAATATTTCTATATATTTTAATGTGTATGTGTGGAGGTGAGAGGGAGACTTTCAGGAGTTGGATTTTTTTACCTTGTGGGGTTTGTGGACCACCTAAATAAGGTGAGCAAATAGCTGAGTCATCTTACTGTCCTCAACATTTAACCCCTAAGTAAGGCAGATATTTGTTTTAGATGCTTTTTATTAAGCATCTCATTTTAAAGACATGTTCCTTATTAAGATGACGAAGTTCCCATCTGCTCCTGGTTTGTTGAGCTTTAATTGTGAATGTTGAACTCTATGTAATACTTTTGCTGTATCAAGTGAGATAAGCAAATGGTTATTTTAAAATTGTATTAACATGGTAGATGGATTTTCATTTTTTTCTTTTTTGATGCTCAATAAAATTAATTAATTTTTACTATGTCTATTTGTGTGTGTGTGTGTGTGTGTGTGTGTGTGTGTGTGTGTGCATGCGCGCGCCTGTGCATGAATGTAGTGCCTGAAGATGCCAAAAGAGGGTGTTAGATGTCTTGGAGGTAAGTTACAGGTAGTTGAGAGTCATCTGACATGGTGTTGGGAACCAAATTCAGCTTCTTGGAAAGAGAAGTATGTATTCTTAACCTCTGAACCTTCTCTCCAGCTCTGAATATTGCATTTCTTAGATAAATGTATTTAACCCTTTCTCTCTCTCTCTCTCTCTCTCTCTCTCTCTCTTCCTTTTTTTTCTTTCCTTTTCTTTTTTTCTTTTTCTTTCTTTTTTTTTTTTCCTGTGGTAGGGTTTCTCTGTGTAGCCCTGGCTGTCCCGGAGCTCACTGTGTAGACCAGGCTGGCCTCAAATTCAGAGATCCACCTGCCTCTGCCTCCTGAGTGTTTGGAATTAAAGGCATATGCCATCACCACCCACCTTCATCTTTTCAATGTTTAATTTCAGATGTTTTATCAAGCTTTTTCTTTTCTTTTTTGAGACAAGGTCTAACTGTGTAGCTCAGCTCACAATTCTGCTTCAGCCTCTTGTCTGATGGACTTATATAGGCATCTGATACCACACCTGGCTTGGACTTTGTCTTTTCTTCAATGAAACTGCTGTGTGTGTGTGTGTGTGTGTGTGTGTGTGTGTGTGTGTGAGTGTGTGTGTTGTTTTTTGACACAGGGTTTCAAACATTGTCTAGGCCAGCCTTGAACTCTGTATGTAGTCGAGGATGAACTTGAGTTTCTGATCCTCAGCCTCTAGTGTGGAGGTTACAGTTACATACCAGTATGTCCCTTTTATGTGGTGCTGGAGATTGAATCTAGGGCTACCAACGGAGCTACATTCCCAGCCCAAACTGAAGATCCTTAGAAGCCACATTATTTTTAACAGTCGTTAGTTTTAATGGAGTTATCCTTGCTCTCTTCCTCGACCCTTGCCATATCCAGTCCTTCACAAAATAATACTGATTCTCTTGCCTTCATATTGTTGGAATCTTAACCTCCCTGTTCTTCCAGCCTCTGCTCTAGCTTAGACCTGGGCTTGCAAATTAACAACCAAATGGGCCACCCTCAGCCTAGAGACAAGCTTTCTTTCCTTGGTCTGAACGATAGTCTGCCAACATTTAGAAATGTAGTCAATTATATTGTAAAGGGCAGATTCTAGCCTGTTTGGAAAAAGAAAGCCAAAACTATAGTAGCTAGCAACCCAAGGTCCCAGTGGTCACTTGACAACACTCAATTACCCTAAGACAAGACTCCCTTCTTGGGAAAAAGCTCAGAATTTCTGCCATCCTCTTCTGTTTCTTGCAAGTGACTCATTTCACTCTTTTCCATCACTCACTGACTTCTTGGGATTTCTAATCTCTACTTTTCTCTTACTTATAATGTTCTGTCCACCCTATCCCTCTTCCACGCGGAAACTTGGCTCTGTTAGCAGATTTGCTGTATCTCCTCATTTGCACATCCTTGATAAACCTCACCATTTTTATGGCTAAGATTCCAACTCATTTCATAACCTGGTCTGCTTGCATGAGAATGCCCATCATTTCATCTCACTCCCTTCTTTGCTTTAAAACTTCTTTTATATTACATTTTATTCTTTCTCTCTCCGTGTGTGTGTGTGTGTGTGTGTTTGTGTGTGTGTACACACATTCATGGGGAGGATAGAGAATAACTTTCAGGAGTTGGTGCTCTACTTCCACCATAGGTATCTAGGGTTTGAACTCTGGTAGGCTTTGTAGCAGGCAGCTTTGCTTACTAGATCATCAGTTTTGATTACTAAGAAGCAGTAGTTTCCAAGACCGCTATTTTCTTAATATCTGTCAGAGCTGTTTTGTCCATTTTCCTCACCTCTCCTTTTACCCACTTGTTAATTTTTTTAAAAATATATATATAGTTGCCTTATTTACCTTGGGTCAGGCAGATATTTTTCTTACACTGACTCAGTATCCTCACTATTCATCTCCCAGCCCCATCCAATGCCATCCACCTTAATCCTCCTCATCTGGTCTACCTTCCATCCATAATCCCATGGTACTTGCTTTTATTCTTCATCTGGGCCTTTCTACATTATTGGAGTCCTGTCTTTCCGCTCACGCTAACACATCATCGCATCCTTCTTCCTCCTCTCTTCCCGTCAGTCTGTTTCCTGTGATTCTCTCTTGAACCCCCGACTTGTTAATTCTTAACTATCCTGGAAACTGCTGTGCCTGACTTTGCTGGTGTATGCTTATAATCTCAGCACTCTGGAGGTTGAGGATCCTGAATTCGAGGTCAGTCTGTGCTTCAAAACCAAAAACGGGGTGGAGAACTGGCTAAACGATTGACAACTACATGTTCTTGCAGAGGACCCGGTTCCAGGTGACTTCTCGGGCAGGCACGTCGTGACACACACACATACACTCAGGCATTCGCATATACATACAAGAATATTAAAAAACAAAAACAAAAAAAACAAAACAACAAAAAAAAAAAACCTGTACCCTGACATCACTCCTGCGCGAGCCTTGCCTTTCTACTATTTTTTTGAAGTTCAGTTTGTGATCTCTTGGTTACTTGAAATCTCTTAACACCAAAAGGTGTTAAATCAGGACGGACTGAAGCGAATCTAATCGAATTCGGATTAGATCAGCTTTATTGACTAGAGCCCTATTTCCTGACTAAAATGTGACAGGAATGTGTACTCTTGCTTTCCTGACTGTCGCTAGCGGGACCTTTCAATCTAGGTTTCCTGCCTAGGCAAACTCGCCCAGCACGTGGCTGGAGACTGTGTGCCCTGGTTAGCTCAGCCTGGGATTGGGTAAGGCAGTGCATGCCGGGAGAGACCCATCTTCGAAGGGCTTGTTGGGAATTGTAGTTCTTGGAGCCGGAAGTGGGGGTGGCGAGGGTAGAACCGCAGCTGAGGCAGCACTCCTTGGTGCTGTCGCTGCCAGGGTGTAGTGCATGGTTCTGAGCCCACCAGGCGTGGTGCCTCTCCTGTCCGGAGGGTGCCCCGGGTGCCCTGGCTGCCGAAGCGGCCGAGAGCCTGTCTTCGGCCCGGAGACGGTCTTTACAGTCCCGGATGCGTCCAGAGGGCGCGGGAATGGATCTTGGCGGTGGCGGCGGGGAGCGCCAGCCCGAGGAGAGCAGGTGGGCTGGGAGCGGCTGGCAGTCGGGGCTGCTGGGTGCGCGCGAGCACAGGGAGACTTGGCAGAGCTCGAATGACACGCAGTATGGGGCGCGGCAGACCTGAGAGCCACTGCTGCGAGTGACTAGTTTGGGAAGAATTTCCAAGAAGAGGGACTGGCGGGGTGTGTAGAAGGACGAGGGAGGAGACGAGTTTAGGGGCGGTGAGCAAGGATGGGTGTGATTCGTTGAGGGTTGAGGAATAGAAGACACCAAAGCTGAGATCCAAGACTGCTGGAAGAGAGGTGGATATTGAGAGTCTGGGGGAAAGGATTGAGCTGCTGTTATGAGATTTTATAGGCCAGGATCTATACATAGGAGCAGGGACAAGGTTGGTGTCCTGCCTTAAAACTTGTGGCGGCAACTCAGACTAATATTAACAGGGTGCTATAAGAATTTCTGGGAGCTAAGGTTTTACGTCATGATTGGCTCAGCAAAGTTATGAAGGGATGAATGTGGGTGAGGAGGAGAAGAGGGCCTGTGTGTGAAAAGCACTGGGTGTAGGCTTGCTGAAGGGACAGAAATTGTGTGCTTGTCCTTTGTCAGTGAGATCCTGCTGTCCAGAGAGGACCTGTCATTTCCTTTTCATCTTCAATCCCTTTGCTTCTTCCCCACAAAGCAAACTAAGCAAACTCAAGTTTATGTGGAACTTCTGTCAGAAAGTCTTAGCTTCTATAAATAGGGGGATTTAAGATTTTATTTTTTTTTTTTAATTTAGACAATTACACTGACTTATTTGAGTGTGTGTGTGAGCATGTGTGTTCCATCCCCAGCATCACAAGAACAACAGAAGCAGAGTCTTAACCTCTTGAGAGGTTACTGAAGCAGAGACACAGCAGAAATATGGAGTATGGGAGCCTTTCTTGACACTTAGAAATAGGTTCACTACAATGATGATCTTCAGAGCAGATGAAGTCCAAAGACTAGAAGCAAAGTAATTTACCTCAAAGTGTTCTTAAGTGAGAATTGAAAAGTACTTGGTATGATGTACTTTCTTGAGTACAAAGTAGCCTGCGGCCTACTGAATTAGTCAGACTTGGAGTTCTTGCCTGGGGTCTATGAATGGTGTATACTAAATGAAACTAGATGTTTTACTTCCCTTTTTGACATTTTAGTTTCTGCTTTTGTGTATTTGGCTATTTATTCTTCCTCCAGATGTCTGTGAAGTGTTTTATGTAAAAGGTACCTTGTAGCTGCTAAGCAAGCTTTAGGGTTATTTTGATTTTCCTGTACTGTTTTATGTGAGTTGAATATTTTAAGTTTGTTTTTTCTTTCCCATTTAGCTACAACTGCGTTGGTTGGTTGGTTGGTTGGCTGGCTGGCTGGCTGGCTGGCTGGTTGGTTGGCTGGTTGGCTGGTTGGTTGGTTGGTTAGTTACCTATTGCTTATTTCTTACATGCAGACACCGTCTTGACAGCACTGTGAAGGCTGACTTACTTAATATGCTAACAGTTGTGTGAAGTAGCTCCTGTAACTATTATCACTTCACACAGGAGGAAGCAGAGATACAGACAGAATAAGTAACTTGCCCTGGTCATGCAGTGAATCTCTGGTAGACCTGAGATCCACACCCAATTACTTTTAATATCTATATTCTGCTGCTGCCCAATATGATAATAGTGGCAAATGTACACAATGGTGTTAAAGTTTTACTGTCTGTGTCTGTCATTTAGGTGGGCAAGGCAACAACTTTGTCAGTTAACTCTTTTATACCTGCTTCTTAACCAGTGTGCTTTAGTCTAAACAACTCCAGCAGCAGGACCCCGCCCCTCCAACACACACAGCACACACAGCACACACACATAGTCACCACTCAGACTCTTGTTGTAAGGCTACTCTCTGTTGGTGGCTGATTGGTTCAGAATGTGTGTTTAGTGAAGCTTCATGGTACTGATGGCCTCCTTAGCTCCAGATAGACACTGGTAAATACATGCCTTATGTGCGAGAATTGAGGCATTGTGGCTGAGCCACTGCAGACATAACCTTTTTATGGTCACCACAATACACAATTCAGAAAGTCAACTTTATGGGATGGTAGCAATTTTTAAGCATGAAGGATATACAGGTTTCCAGTGAAGGCACATGATAGTGAAATGTGCATAATTTAAACCCAGAAGCACCTTGTTTTTGTTTCAGTTAATAGCATTTCCTTGCTCAGTCAACCAAGCCGGAGCTGAGCCCACAATGAAATTTCAGACTTCTCTTTTCATTTCCTATATTCAAAGCTACAGTTGAACATTAGCTTGTGTACTTGACTCAGTCATCTTTTAAAGATTTATTTATTATTTAAACACTATTCTGCCTGCATGTGTGCTTGCACACCAGAGCTTATTTTGGTTATGAGCCATCATGTGGTTGCTGGGAATTGAACTCAGGACCTTTGGAAGAACAGCCAGTGCTCTTATTGTCTGAGCCATCTCTCTAGCCCCATGACTTGGTCCTCTTACTAAATCCTGCCTGTGTGGCAATGTTCTTCCCTGCCTGAAGATCGTGAGAAGTAAATGAAATAATGAGCGCAGGTTCCCCACAGAATGCCTGGTATGCACTAAAGTACAAAGGGTTGTTTGCTCTTGTCCCGTCTCCGGTTTCCATATGCTAGGTAGTTGTCGACGGGTTATTATTTGCAGTGGTATTACTTTCTTCTATTTTCATGGCTCCTCTAGCTAAGTTGAGCATGTGGGAAATTGGAATGTTGACCTAGCTCTTAACTTCACCCTAGAAGTATACTTACATCAGAGGTTCTCCTGTTGTTTTTCGTGTAGTTAACTGTGTGATAGCAAAATACCACTGGGCTTAAGAATAATATTTATCTTTCCCTAACGTTTCCTTAAATGCCAGTTGTTTGAGAGTTGTCTGCTGAAACTACCACTTAAACAGTAGTCCTTCCTTCTATCATTGCGCTGTCGCCCTGCACTTCATTGAGCTGTGCAGGACTACTTGAGAGGCAGGAAGTCAGCTCTTCCCACTGTTCAGTTTTCCTGGTGGAGTGGCCCACACAGGGTCAGAATCAAATAGTAGGGCACATTCTAGTGACTCTGAACACTCAGTGGACCAACACCTTCCTTTCCTATGTCCTCAGCCCTGGTTTCTGGCATTTTCCTTTTAGTCAGCTAAGCCAGAACCTCACAATAATACTTTTCCCTGGGTCCCTTATCCACGCAAGCACTAGTTTCTGTGAGTTCTTCCCTGATACATCCTTGAATTCTTTTTTAATTCCATTCCAGATACAATGATGTCTATTTCTTTTAAAAACCTAGGGCATAGTATTGCTTTTAGGCACAGCCAAACTTTGGTGGGAAAGTCAGGTGTTGGCTTTGCCTCTCTCTCTGCTGGGTCCTGCTTTGTTGGCTTTTTTTTTTTTTTTCTCAATGAGATTTTCTACAGGGAACCCTTAGCACCCCCAAGGCTGGCGATCTCAACAACAGTAACAGAAAGGATGCAGTCCAGCAACTCCAGCCAACGAAGATAGTCCAGGCTGACTGACTTTCTTATGCTCAGGAAGTAGAGCTCGCAGCTCCATTGAGCCTGGGTTGTGATGGATCCTAGGGTAGGGTGAAACCTTTGCAGAACTTCATTGACCAAACTAAGTGATAGGCATTTCCCCTCTGAAAAGTAGTTCTATTTTCAAAAAAGTCATAAATTCCAGGCAGGTGCACATGGCCACTGAAGACATGGTCTCACAGTGGGGATTATTCTAGTAACTGCATAACTAATTTTCTTCTCTGAATGTAGTTTCCCAGTCCAGGTCTCCATACTGTTACTTATTTACTTTTCAGAAACAAAGGATGGTCAGTGATGTTCCCTATTGTGGTTACACACACAATGGAATTTCTTCAGCCACAGTAAAGGGCCAATGATATTGTTTGTAGGAAAATGACTGCTACTGAAGATAATCACATAAAGTCAGTCTCAGAAGGTTAAATATCCCATGGCCTCTTACATTTCTATACTTTACAGATACATAAGGTGATCCGTGTACTGATAACATGAAAGTCGTAGTGAAACTGGGAAACAGAGAGGACAGTGGGAGGGAGGAAAAGGGTTATGCTCACAGTACATTCTATACTTGCATTGGAATAGTATTTTATAATAACAAAGAATATCACATTGTAAGATACAGAATTCAGCACTTTAAAAGACAAAAGAAAACAGAACATAGTCCAAACTCCTTACATAAGTATTCAGTTTGTGTTTTGGTCCCTCTGAAACATAGTCACAGACTCATGGCATTCAGTTACTCAGACTTTTCCCAACCTTCTCATCCTTGCTTCTCTGTACTCCCTGCAATATCTCTCTCCCTCTTGACCTGAAGAGCTTAGTCATCCTTTCAATGATGCTCTTTGAAAGGCATTCCCAACCTGTTCCTCTCCATCTGTCCATCACACCCTTCCCTTTCTCCCCATTCATTTTTATTTCCCATTATTTTTTCCTCCTCCATTCTTTTTCTTTCACCTTGAAAATGCCAAGAATTGACAGTGTGTAAGGACAGGGGGTAAAGCAGCTAATCACATGATTTTTTTGAGCATTCTGCACTGTGGAGTTCAGTTATTTGTGTCAGACACCTCCTGCTCCTACTGCCGCCCCTACTCCCCTGCCTGCAAATACATCATGAAGCTTTTAGGAAAAGTATTTTTGTGAGAAGGCAGGAGGGGAGGCGTGTCAGCTGACGGCAGGTACCATGTACACCTCAAGCACTACTTCAGTGCCTTTACCTCACACAGGTTTTCAGTTCTTAGATGATTTTTTTCCCTTTTCATCTTTGCCGCCCTTCTCTTTAATTATTTATTTTGGTTTTTGGAGACAGGATTTTTCTGTATAGCCTGGCTGTTCTGGAACTGCCACTATAGACCAGGCTGGTCTTGAACTCAGAGATACGCCTGCCTCTTTCTCCCAGGTGGTGAGACAAAAGGTGTGTGCCGCACTGCCCGGCCTCACCCTTCTCTTTTAAAATAATTTCCGTTACA